GTGGCATCCCATGTTGTGCGGACTTGAAGAGATCAATCAACCAATTACTATGTGAGCAGGCATGGCGCACTTGGGTGTTTGAAAGCCTCAACCAAAACAACAACTATCCCATTGCAGTCATCCAACAGGTCCAGTGTCCAGTGCAGGGGAAAGGGTGTTTTTTGTGCTGTTCCATGGAGGGTAGCCTGGAATTTAGCTTTGAGAAAGTCAGCTATTTCTTGAGTGAGCTTGAAACTACTCAAGTCTTGCAGCATCGCAGCAAGACCGGGGAAAATGGGTGGGGAATATTGGCTGGTTGGCGAAGAAAAATGTGGTTGCCTGCAGGCGCAACGAGGCTGCTGCCAACACAGATGTACAACAGGTAAATAGTATATCTATTTAACTTTCTCCTACGTGGTCCCCCACAGTTATACTAACGAGGCAGCACTCTGGTTAACTGCATCAAAGACAAATGGGCGCAACAATGGGATCCACGCAATTGGGCGCAACCCATGGGCGCCAGATGTACAACAGGTAAATATTTAACTTTCTCCTACATGGTCCCCCACAGTGATACTAACGAGGCAGCACTCTGGTTAACTGCATCAAAGACGAATGGGCGCAACAATGGGATCCGCGCAACAGGTAAATAATATATCTATTTAACTTTCTCCTACGTGGTCCCCCACAGTGAAACTAACGAGGCAGCACTCTGGTTAACTGCATCAAAGATGAATGGGCGCAACAATGGGATCCGCGCAATTGGGCGCAACCCATGGGCGCCAGGGGTAAAGTCGGCCGATCCGTCCTCTATGGGGCTCTGTACTCGCGGCCCACCCATCTCGCATGGCCTATTTTAGAGTCTCGGCCCAGTCATTGCCAAGGCCGAATTTTTGACAGCTCGGCCGAGTCCGCTGGCCCGCTGTTGATGGGCGCCTGTCACACGCCGCTGGCCCATCAGTGATGGACCCATTTGACTGCCCTAACTGCCACAAAACCAAACATGTCGGGCCAGACACCTCGGCATGCGTTCATGGTTCCTCAAGCACCTGCCGAGGACTGCCGCATTGAGGTACCTCAAGACGCCGTCGATGCCCTTCGTAACACAATCCCGGTCTCCCGTGATGAAGCAATGCGGTGGGTTGATCCATCCTTCGAGGAAGCGGCGAGGCGGGCATATATAACAATCGGTAGCCCTTCTCTCTCCAATATGAGTACAGGCTGGTCTATTTTCAGCGCTATGGCAGCAGTAATTACTTTGTAAAGATACATACCAAAGCTACTTATGACTCTCGCAATGTCGCGTTATTACATGACGGATGATGGGAAAGGCAAAGTCACAGTGCAAATTCATCTGTCCATGTGATGCCAAACAATGGAAGAAGGTCGGAAGATCAAAGTGCAAATTCATCCGTGGACGTCCTGCGAACGGTAGGAACGTACACCCTTCGCAGTCACAAGCTGCAAAATTTTGGGGGTCGATTTTCCTTTCTGGTGTCACTGGTGCCAGTCATGGGTTGTAATATTCTTTGTAGAAGTTCTCCTGACCTCCGTTACAGTAAGTATCTTTCAATCTCTCCATCTTGTGGAATGTACGCCCCTTCACAATCACAGTGAGGTGTGTTCATAGAACTTGGTATTTGAGCTCCGTTA